TGCACTGTCCAGACACACATTGCACCGTCCAGACACCCATTGCACCGTCCAGACACCAATGCACTGTCCAGACACCCATTGCGATGTCCAGACACCCATTGCACTGTCCAAACACCCATTGCACTGTCCAGACACCCATTGCACTGTCCAGACACCCATTGCACTGTCCAGACACCCATTGCACTGNTATTGCACTGTCCAGACACCCATTGCACTCTCCAGACACCCATTGCACTGTCCAGACAAACATTGCACTGTCCAGACACCCATTGCACTGTCCAGACACCCATTGCACTGTCCAGACACACATTGCACTGTCCAGACACACATTGCCATGTCCAGACACCCATTGCACTGTCCAGACACCCATTGCCATGTCCAGACACCCATTGCACAAGCTTATATTACTAGTGCAAAAATAAATGGCATCTATCATCAACATTTATACATTTTTAACTTCTAAATATATAAAGTTGCCAATGCAATGTTCAAACCAACTTATAACATTTCTGTTGTAAAATTGAAAGTTCTTTTCTTGTTTCTAGGAGCAAAATAATTATCATGAGCCAAGTCAGCAAGCAGACAATATCACGAGTAAGTATCACTGTTTGGTAGTAAGGTGTTTTTACAGTAAGTATCACTGTTTGGTAGTAAGGTGTTTTTACAGTAAGAGTTTTTGACATGATAATAGACAAAAAAATACATTTCACTTTCATTGTTTGCCTTTATAGTTCTCAACTTTAGACTGGTTAGCTCACCTGGTCCATAGGACCATGGTGAGCTTATGCCATACCGCAGCGTGTTCAGAACGGCCAAGTAGATTTTGACTAAATTTGGTCTGGAGAATCCTTACGCCAAGGGGACTCAATTTTGTATAAATGGTGGGTGTGGCCCCCCTTGGGGCAGAGGGCTGGGGCCGAATAGGGGAAATAGAGGTAAAACCTTCAAAATCCTTCTCCTACCCTAGGGATTAAGGAATTTTATCCTTATTAAGTCTGGAGCATCCTTGGGCCAAGGGGACTCAGTTTTGTATAAACCATGGGTTTGGCCCCCGAAGGGCCTGAGGGGCGGGGCCCAATAGGGGAACATAGCAGATTATTCTTTAAAATCCTTCTTCTTCTGTAGGAATGACAGGATTTGGTCCATATTTGGTCTGAAGCATCCTTGGGTTAAGGGAAACCAATTTTGTGTAAACTGTGGGTCTGGCCCCCTTGGGGGCTGAGGGGCGGGGCCCAATATGGGAAATATAGCAAATTCTTAAAAATCCTTCTACTTCTGTAGGAATGACAGGATTTATTCCATATTTAGTCTGAAGCATCCTTGGGTGAAGGGGTACCAATTTTTTATAAACCATGGGTCTGACCCCCCAGGGGCCTGAGGGGCGTTGCCGAATAGGGGAAACATAGCAAATTATTCTTTAAAATCCTTCTTTTTCTGTAGGAATGAAAAGATTTGGTCCATATTTGGTGTGAAGCATCCTTGGGTAAAGGGGAACCAATTTTGTATAAATGGTGGGTGTTGTCTCCCAGGGGCAGAAGAGCGGGGTCCAATAGGAGAAATAGAGGTAAAACCTTTAATATCCTTCTTCGACCATTGTGATTAAGGGATTTTATCCTTATTTAGTCTGGGGCATCCTTTGGCCAAGGGGACTCAATTTTGTATAAACGGTGGGTATGACCCCCCTAAGGGCATAGGGGTGGGGCTCTGATTGAAGTTTGTTCTCGCTATATCTCAAGTACTGGATGGATCTTTCTGGTCTTTCATATGTACTTAAAGCACCTACCATGGAGTGCTATATCTTTACTTCATACCAATTATTTTAAACTTATTCAGGTGAGCGATACAGGCCCTCTGGGCCTCTTGTTTTAATGTAGAACCTCTTTCTGTTTTGTAGAGTTCTGGAACACTGGAGAACAGCAGTGTAAAGATACACAGATGTCACTATTCTTACCTTTACCTACTGTCACCCCTCAGGTAAAACACTATACTTATCTGTACCGACTGTCACCCCTCAGCTAAAAAAACTATACTTAGCGATACAGGCCCTCTGGGCCTCTTGTTTTAATGTAGAACCTCTTTCTGTTTTGGAGAGTTCTGGAACACTGGAGAACAGCAGTGTAAAGATACACAGATGTCACTATTCTTTCCTTTACCTACTGTCACCCATCAGGTAAAAAACTATACTTCTCTGTACCTACTGTCACCGTAAAGCAATATACTTGTCTGTGCCTACTGTCACCCCTCGGGTAAAACAATATACTTATCTTGTCACCCCTCAGGTAAAACAATATACTTATCTTGTCACCCCTCAGGTAAAAAACTATACTTATCTGTACCTACTGTCACCCCTCAGGTAAAGCAATATACTTGTCTGTACCTACTGTCACCCCTCAGGTTAAAAAACTAGACTTATCTGTACCTACTGTCACCCCTCAGGTTAAAAAACTATCCTTGTCTGTACCTACTGTCACCCCTCAGATTAAAAAACTATACTTGTCTGTACCTACTGTCACCCTTCAGGTTAAAAAACTATACTTGTCTGTACTTACTGTCACCCCTCAGGTAAAACAGTATACTTATCTGTGCATCCTGTCACCCCTCAGGTAAAACACTGTACTTATCTGTGCCTACTGTCACCCCTCAGGTAAAGCAATATACTTGTCTGTACCTACTGTCACCCCTCGGGTAAAACAATATACTTATCTGTGCATACTGTCACCCCTCAGGTAAAACAATATACTTATCTGTACATACTGTCAACCCTCAGGTAAAACAATATACTTATCTTTGCATACTGTCACCCCTCAGGTAAAAAACTATACTTATCTGTAACTTCTCTCACCCCTCAGGTAAAACAATAAACTTATCTGTACCTACTGTCACCCCTCAGGTAAAACAGTATACTTATCTGTGCATACTGTCACCCCTCAGGTAAAACACTATACTTATCTGT